CCATTTGAATTAGTTTCCTTAATTAGGTTGCTTGTCGTTTGGTTTTCCCCAACCGGCTCAGTAACCCCAAAAATATCTTTCATCTGCTCCACCTTTTCATCTCCCAACCTCTGCCCTCCATGTGTCCACCACCCAGCCAGCTTTTTGGGGTTACTGAAAGGTACTTTAAATCAATGTGACAACTAAGAACTGACTCTTTACCCCTGTTAAAAGCTTTGCTAGCATACATTGTTAATTATTTGTTGCCTTTGCTCTCTCTCTCTCTCTCTCATATGCCTTTTTGTATCAATACATGTATTATGGTGTTTCTATCATTTATGGATTTACTATTGAACTTTACCTTCATTGCAGTTATTATCTTTATGACACATAACAATCAAGAACATGATAAATTACTTGGCATATTCTTCAATATAGCTGGTAATGAGTTTGTAAAAATTATTCTCACTTCTAGGAACTGTTTATGTTACAGCTATCTAGATTGGTTATTTTAAATCTCATATAAACAAGTGCTAAGATTTCTTAAGTATACTTGATACACATTCCAGGTTGAGCTTTTTTGTGTGAATCACTTGATAAATTGCTCTTTGGAGTCAATAGAGGAGTTCATCTGTATGGAATTTCGCTTTACTTTAAGAGATGATGGGATGCGTGCAGCTTTTCAGTTACTCCATATGGTACTAGAGGTAATTCCATGTTCTTACCCCTACCTTGTATATTATTTTCAATATCTTGACTTTGTGCTGGAATTCTCAATGTTTCATTTTGAGTCCTAGTTAATGATGGTTGATTGTGGTATGCAGCATAGCGTCTGGCTAGAGGATGCTTTTGATAGAGCCAAGCAACTGTACTTGTCATATTATAGGTCAATTCCTAAAAGCTTAGAACGGTCAACTGCCCACAAGCTCATGTTAGCAATGTTAAATGGAGATGAGAGGTTTGTTGAACCTACACCAAATTCATTGCAAAAGTTGACATTGCAATCTGTAAAGGATGCAGTGATGAATCAGTTCGTTGGTGATAATATGGAGGTTTGTGAATATTCCTGCTAGTAGATACTTATGAACACCATAAAAATTTAATCTTTCAGTTTTGCATCCTAATGTTTTTTTTTTGTTCCAATTTGGGGATTTTAAATCCTTCTTAGGTTAGTATTGTTGGGGATTTCACTAAGGATGAGATCGAGTCTTGTATTCTTGATTACTTGGGGACAGTTGGGGCAACAAGGAGTGCTGAAGTAGAGCATAGATTTAACGCAATTATGTTTCGACCATCCCCATCTGATTTGCAGTTTCAACAGGTAAGAAACCAAATCTAGTTAATTCTCTACCATCAAATGTATTTATTAGCATCTTTGGAATCTCATCCCTACATTTCAAATGGTAACTTGATTGTCTCTTGCTTGGAATTTCATACAAGTGCTTTTTTTCCTAAATAACTGGCTAAATGTTATGGAATGCACAGATTCTTTGTAATGATTGCAGATACTTTAAGTCTTGACAACAATATACAATACACTTTTTATTTGATCTGTAATGTACAATATACATAATATTAATAGGTGATAAGAGGGGTTATGAAAACAAGTCATGGGGTTTTACCATTTGTAATATTGCATTAAATAATGTGTTAATGTGAATGAGCCACCTCCTACCTTCTTGAGATCCACGTTGGAAAGGGACTTTTGTTAAGCTGCCCAAGTTCATTTTGTGTTTTCTTATGTTTTACTTCCAAAAGGATAGGAAAATTTCAGAAGTAGAATAATTTCTTGTGTTTAATGCAGAATTCTCAGGTTTATATTTGCTTACTGGCAGGTATTCTTGAAAGACACTGATGAGAGAGCATGTGCATATATTGCAGGCCCAGCACCAAATCGCTGGGGTTTTACCATTGAGGGGCAAGATCTCTTTGAGTCTATTAATGAGAGCTCAAATACAAATGGTAAGTTTTGTACCATATCATGAACCCTTTGGTATTGAATATATTTTGTCATGTTGCTTAGACTGCACATGCAAACATTATCTTCAATATTGATATATTGAGAAACATATTCCACATACCTACTAAGCTTCAAAATATAATTTCTTTGTTTATAGTTCATGATTTCTTGTCAAGTAAAACTTCTTCGTATGGTATGATGTGCAAAAGCATCTGTGTGCAATGCCATCATGGAGGGGATAGGGTGTATTCAATGTTATATGCTGTCCTGGGCATTGATGTTATATCTCATTTAAATTCACCTCTTTACATATTCGTTTATTTATTGATAATTAACAGGAACTTTTATTAAAAATAAGAGAATAAGATATAAGAGAAAGGAGGGGTATAATCTCTTAATCCTCCCTAAGAGTAAACTTCAAATTACAACATTGCCCAAAAAAGGCTAACTCTTCTCACCTGTTGTTTGGCCAGTGAGTCTGCCAAAGAATTGGCACTGCTCTTAGTCTACTGAAACTTGATTTCCATGTTTTAGAATATCTGCTTAACTTTCTTTTTCTCATTTAAGTACTTCTACAAACCGAGCTCTCGCTTGTAGCCAACTAAGCCTAGAATCACCTTCCACCATCAGTTTTCTGATATTCAGTTACTGGGCTCTCTTTACCCCTTGCAAACCGCCAATATTTCAGCTCTTAGAGAATCCCCCATCCAATAGGACCAGAATACATGGCAATAATTTTGTCCTTCTTCATCCTTGAACACTCCAATACCTGAAGGGGACCCCCTATAATACAGTAAACAGTTCTTCTTCTTCTTTCAAGTGTTCTAACTGTTAGACAGTTTTGTATGCCCTTAGCTTCAATCAGAATGATGTACTTTATGAGTTTATTGTAAATGAATAAAAGTGCATATTTGATTCAT